CATCTCAAACGTATTCATCAGAACTTTCTTGAACTCAGCTATCTCTTGTTCAGAACTTTCTGTGAGTAATATGTCATCAACATACAAACAGACCAGGATCATATTACCTTCTGAAGTATGTTGAACATAAACACCATACTCCATCTCACACTTCTGAAACCCTTGTTCCTTGAAAAATGAATCAATTTTCAGATTCCAGGCCCTGGGCGCTTGCTTCAATTCATACAAGGCTTTGTGTAATCTGAACACCATCCATTCCTGATTCTTTTTCTCAAATCCAGGAGGTGGTGACATGTATACCCCTTCTTGTAATGGACCACTCAGAAATGCAGATTTTACATCTAAGTGCATCAGAGGCCAATTCCTGTTTGATTGTTTCATGTCTCGCTACAGGTGCAAACACTTCAAAGTAATCCAGCATAGGCTTCTGTAGAAATCCTTTTGCTACTAATCTTGCTTTGTGTTTGCCAATTGATCCATCTGACTTTAGCTTCTGCTTGAAAACCCATCTGACACTGATGGCTTTCTTGCCTTTTGGAAGTTCTGTCAGCTTCCAAGTCTTGTTTCCTCTCTATAGCATCAAGTTCTTTTTTCATGGCCTGTAACCAAACTTGTTGCTTAAGAGCCTCTTCCGTACTCACGGATTCAGAGTCTACTAACATTGCACACTGAATAACTTCTCCTTCAGAGTCTACTTCAGTGTCTTGCAACATGTCAAACTCTGCAAATCTTCTTGGGATGCTTCTGACTCTTTGTTGCCTCTGAACTGGAACTTCAGAACCTTGAACACCAAAACTTTCCCCTTCAGAAGCGCTTGCTTCAGAAATTGGATTTTCCCTAGAATCTTGACTGTCTTCAGAGTCTGGATCACCATCGGAGTCAGAGTCAGAATCATCTTCACCTTCTGAATCTTCTTCAGAGTCAGAGTCTTTACCAGCTTCAGAAACATGTGTTTCTGACTTTTCTTCAGGAGTTCTCTTATCAGAGTCAGGACGAGACCTTTCCCAATTCCAGACTTCTGATTCTTTTACAATGACGTCTTTGCTTGAACTCAACTTTGTTAGTTTCTGGACAATAAAGTTTGTACGAACTTGTACTGTGGTACCCCACCAGTAACATTACTTTACTTCTATCATCCAGCTTCTGTCTTCTGGCCTCTGGAACATGTTTGTAACATACATAGCCAAACACCTTCAGATGACTAACACTTTGCTTATCTTCAATCCACTTCTGAATAGGAACTATTTCCTTCATCTTCTTCGTTGGACATCTGTTGAGCACATAACATGCAGTGGCAACAACTTCTCCCCACAGAGTATGAGGAATCTTCTTCTCTTTCAGCATGCTTCCTCACCATATCAAGCAAAGTCCGGTTTCTTCTTTCAGCAAGACCATTGGAGTATATGAAGCAGTAACCTCATGCTCAATTCCATTCTCCTCACAGAACCTTTTGAATTCTTTGGAGTTATACTCATCACCACCATCAGTTCTGAGAATCTTCAGAGTTTGGCGACTCTGATTCTCAACCTTTAGTCTGAACTTCTTGAATTCAGCAAACATCTCGTGTTTGAACTTTATAAGAGATACCCATGTCATTCTGATGAACTCATCAACAAATGACACAAAATATTTATTCCCTCCAATCGATGCTACTGGAAATGGACCGCACACATCAGAATGCACTACTCCCAAGGCCTGCTTTGCTCTTGGAGCTACTTCTGATGCAAATGGTAATCTTGGTTGCTTCCCTTTCATGCACACCTTGCATGACTTCTCAGGCTTCTTAATTGTAGGAATTCCATGTACCAGCTTCTTTGATTTAAGATGTCCTAAGCTTCTGAAATTCAGATAACCAAATCTTCTATGCCACAACTCACTCTCCTTAACAACACTTGTTGCACTAAGACATTCAGAGTCTGCAGTTCTAACATTCACCTTGAATGTTCTGTTCTTTCCCTGTTCTGACTCCATAATCAGCTTCTGATTATGGTCATACAGTTTCAGAAGATTGCCCTTCATGGTAACCGAAAAACCTTTCTCAATCAGTTGTGTCACACTCATCAAATTGTTTTTCATGCCAGGTATATACCACACATTCTGGATCACTGTTGCTTTCCCATTGTTTAGAATGACTCTGAAATTTCCCATACCTTCTGAGGTATTTATCATCAACACATTTGATCTTTGTACTCTTTCCAGAGTCAAAATCAACCAATCATTTCTTGTTTCCAGTAAGATGGTTTGAGCACCCTGTGTCCATATACCACCATTCTGCTGAATTCATATTATCAGATTCAGAAGCCAACAATAGCACAGGTTCATCATCAGACTCTCCTCTGGCTATATTTGCTTCTTCTGACTTCCTTTCTTTGTTTGACCAACAATCTTTGGCATAGTGACCAAAGTTCTTATAACAGTAACACTGAACATTCTTCTTGTCAGACTTCTCCTTTCCCTTCTGGACATTCTTTTGCCTATTAGAATTTGAAGCTTTTGACCTTTGACCACCATTAGTTTTCTTCCTGGCTTCTGACCAAGTTTGCTTCTGATACTTCTTATCAGAAGTTACTTTCAGAGCCTGCTGCTCTACTTCACTCTCAGAAGTTCTCTAATTCATACGTAACTCATGCGCCTCTAGACTGCTTTGCAGCTCTTCAACTCTCATGGTGCTCAGATCTTTGAAATGTTCAATTGCTACCACAATATAATTAAACTGAGAAGTTAAATATCTCAATATCTTCTCAATGATTACTTGTTCAGAAAGAGTTTCTCCACAAGCTTTCATCTCATTAGTGATCAGAATCACTCTAGAGATGTACTCAGAAACCTTCTCGTTGTCCTTCATGTTGAGATTCTCATATTGCTTTCTGAGAGACTGAAGCTTCACCTTCTTCACTGATGCGTCACCACCGTAACATCTGACCAGTGTGTCCCACGCAGGCTTTGCTGTTTCAGAATCACCAATTTTCTCAAACACATTCGCATCCACACATTGATGGATGTAGAACGTCTTCTGATCTTTCTTCCTTAGCGCCCTCTGTGTTATCTTCTGTGCCTCTGTTGCGTCTGCTTCTAACAGATCATAGCCATCAGTGACTAGATCTAACACATCTTGAGAGCCAAACAACACACGCATCTGAATCTTCCAACGATTCCAGTTTTTGCCATCAAATACTGGAAGCTTGGAATGGATATCACCGCCGTTTTCGTTCATCTTCTACCTTGTGCAATTTACGCAGAATCTCAATAAAACAACGTTTCCCAAATCCCCAGAATCAGAAACAACGATTATCAATCACACAACACCTCACTGTTCTCTCGTGTTTCCCGTGTTTCCCCGTGGATTTCTAACTGGAGCTCTAGATACCAATTGTTGGTGCACAAAGCAGAGATGAAAGACAAAAAGAATATATTTAATGACGGCTAAAAATAAGGAATAATGATTTACAATGAATTACATTGACCTCTACTACTAGGCTATTTATACACAAAATTAGGGTATAATAAAATACTAAAATACCCTCTAACAAAGATATAAAAAAGATATAAAAAGATATATCTAGATATTCCTAAAGTATAAATTATTTCCAACAATTTCTACGCTCCATATGTCCAGTCCTGGGCGTGAGAGAGTGTGTTTATTTTTTTGGCAAAAACTGGCGTGAGAGAGTGTGTTTATTTTTTTGGCAAAAACTGGCGTGAGAGAGTGTGTTAAGAGTCCTATATTAGATAATATGTGGCCTGAACATGCCCTTATAAGTGAGGGAAATCCTCACTTTACAAGCCGATTTTGTAGGGTTGAGTTAGGTCCAACCATATTTCTTAAAAAAATTCTAACATAAATAATTAGTCTTATTTTATTGTATTGCATAGGCCAAGCAAAGTCACTTAGGTCTAAAATTTTCTCTATTTAAACCAACTATTGTATTGCAATATTTAACTTCGTAATATATTATAAAACTTTTTTCTACATGATTTCTATTTAAGATTTGACAAGCCACTTGTTATCAGGCTTCTGCTATCGTGATACCTATCATTTATATCCATATACCAAATCCATTAGTGTTGAGCGTAAGAGGGTGTGTCAAGAATTCTACATTGTATAATTGAGTACAACTCTTACCTTACTAGCCGGTTTTGTAAGGTTTAGTTAGACCTAACCACAATTCTAAGATGATATTAAAGTTTATTCAATATCTGTTGAGCCACCTACTATTAGGTTTCTGATATCCGGCCACCACCATTTTTATCCTCGCTCCAAGCCCAATAGTGTTGAGCATGAGATTGTGCGTTAAGAGTCTCACATTAAAAGAAATATGGTCTAAACTTATCTTTATAAACGGGGACAATCTTCACCTTACAAACCGATTTTGTTAGGTTGGGTTAAGCTCAACCACAATTCTAAGATGATATTAGAGTCTATCCTTAGTATCTGATGTCATGTTTCCGCTATCGGATCACCCACTATTTATATCTATTCACCAAATTCAATAGTGTTGGGCGCAACAAGGGGTGTTAAAAGTTTTATATGAGATGATATATGGCTCGAACATATATTCATAAGTGAGGGAAGTCCTCAACTTGGCACAAATTCAAAGAGTTCAAAATATTTTTTTTAATGCACTCTCATGCAATATGTATAAAGTAATGCATTGTTTTTTGTTTTTTAATGCACTAATGCGATATGTATAAAGTAAAGCATTGTTTTTTGTTTTTTAATTTGACTTTGTCATCTGAATCTTTCATGTAGGGAGGAGTAACAGCAGCACGTCCTTTCCTCAAAGATGTATTTCTTCCAGAAGTGTCGGTAATGTTGTATGAATCTTAAGTATATTTAAATTTTTGCTAGTGTTCCCTTTTTTGTTTTTCATTACTGTTCTACTTGATTTCATACATATAATTTTTTAATTGCGTTATTTTTGGTCTGATTAGTTGTTTCTGCTATTTTTGGGCAGGTGATGGACGGTAATTTTCTGCCAAAATGTATATTTGTTGCAGCTATGGTGAGGCGCATAATGGATGCTTATCAGAATAAGGATGCATTAGATGAGAAGGTAATATCTTACTTTTATCACGTGAACATATGTAACTTGAAAAGACGGACTCGGTCTTGTAATGATGAGAACATAGATGGAATAATTTATTTTATGATAAAATCTTCTGAATGTCATTGATTTTACACAACAATTTTAATCTCTTGGTTATAGACCATCACTATCCACTATTAGTATAGTTTACAAAATGGTTCAAAGAAGTTGTTGAAACGAAGTTAGAGTTTAAAATTGAGCCATTGTCTATGGCTATATAGTATGTATCTCATAATGTGCCTAGCTCTATCAAAGTGACCATCCTAGGTTGTTACAGTTTCTTCATGTATAAGGCGTAGCGTAGGTCATATCTAGAGTAATAGTAAAGAAAATTCAATTGACAAGCTATTAGTCCATGAAATTTGTCCAAGTTTTCAGAATTTCATTGCTTATCACACAATAAATCAAAATCCAAACGAACTGTTAATCCATATAAAAAAGAAAATATATTGTATAACCAATGGAGAACATCAGGTCAATCCACCAATAGGGCTTGTGCTCAAGAACAAACCACCAACAGAACGATCCCCCAATAGTGTAGAATTTTGTGTGTGCATGTGTGTGGGCAATAGTTACTGATAATATACTAATTGATATTGCTAACTTGTAGGAATTTATCGGTAACATCCGACTAAAGCTACCTGGAGAGTTATTATCTCTTCTTTTTGAGGTACTATTTAATTTAATTTAATACAAATCTAACTTCTGTTTATATACTTCACAAATTCTTCATTGCATTACTTATTCTTCCTTCTTTTAGGAGCTCTTTAAATCTTGGATAAATGAAGTGAAGAAAATGTCTGAGAAAAAGCGAGCTATGTGGGCCAAGCAAAAGCAAGACAAGTATGGCCATGATATTATATTTAGGATGACGGACGTAAGCTCTCTTTAGTATTTTTCTCTTTTAATGTTTTCTCTGCATTTTGTTCATCAGGGAAGGTACTGCTTAAATGAAATGATGACATTAATCGGTTCCTTAATCAAGCAATGAAATGATTAGCGATTAAAGAAAAGAAAAGAAAACAAAACAAATAGCAAATAAGAATATGTTTGAGAAACAAATCAAAACTGTGATTTTTGTGCCAGGTAAGTCCTGAAATCTCATCAAGGTGGTGTTTTGAAGTTAAATGCTATTATCTAAGTAAATACATAATGATATATTAATTTTTTAGTAGTAAGCATAGAATTATTTGCTTATTTTGTAAAACATGCCATTTTTTATCTATTGATCAAAGTAATTTTGGGGGTTTGAAGTTATTTTTTCTTATATATATGTGAATTTTTATTCATAATGTGAATTTGGTAGGATCATACGATCCCACAATTTTGGTGGGTTCTTAAGTTTGTCAATATGTGATTTTGAGAATGGTGATTTGTTGGGAAACTCCAATTTTGAGATGGCACTGAAAGTTTATATATTCATGTTATTCTTAGATTCATTGATTTTGATAGTGGTGATTTGTTGGGAAACTCCAATTTTGCTGATTTCATCATTTTATGTTTCTTCATTAATATTGCTGTTGATTTGTTAATCCAACCTGATCTTAGTATGTATGGATTTGGATTTTGATCCGCATAGTTTCTTAATCATGGAGACATAATCACTCATGGTCTGGAGTTGACTCTCAAAACCGGAAATTTTAATGTTAAGAGGTTCAAGATGGAAAGGACAGGAGTAACACAGGTTGTGTATTGTTTCCCTTTCTAATATTTCAAACTCTTGATATTTCACACAACAAAATGACTTTGTTTGGCTTAGGTACCATGACACCTTGGGGCTTGGAATTGTCTATCACAGATCAATTCCTATAATTGATTTTATTTATTTATTTTACAGGTGCTACAGAGGTCTTCATATGTGAGTGCTTTGGCCCACATGACTGAAGTTTTTAAACAGTCTGAGAAGTCCAGAAATGTAAGTGGTGCTAAAGCTATGCATTATAGCCAGGTAATATGCGTTCTGGTTGGGAACTTTCTTGATAGATCACTTTTAGTGGCTTTGTTTGATCCTTGTAGCTGATGTAAAAAGCTTTATTGTTGTTGCTGCTTTTGTATTCTTTTTTGTTATAGTTTGGCATGCTTTGTCCATGTGATATTCGAGTTGAAGCATGTGGAGTAGTAAGGAGTCTGGCTTTGATGACTCATGTCACTACTGATGTAGAGAAAGACTGCTCAATTGATATTGTATGTTTTGTGTAATTTATCGTGGAATTTTCCTTTATTGTTTGTTATTAATAATACTGTTTTGCTTTAGATACTACTCCCTCCGTCCCAAATAATAGGACGTTTTAGCGTTTTCACACGAATTAAGAACTGCAATTATTACTTTATCGAAAAGTGAAATGATATATGACTTTACAAAAATGCCCTTCAATAATTACATTGAAAAGCAAAATTAAAAGAATAGAAAGAAGAAAGAGAAATAAATAGTAGAGGGTGTATTAAGCAAAAAGTCATTAATGATGTATTGGGATTCTAAAGTGACTTATAATTTGGGACAAATATTTTTGGCAAAGTGACTTATAATTTGGGACGGAGGGAGTATAGTTTTTAATGACTCTGCTCGAGTAATCATACATGTTTGTGTGTTTAAATATGAGAAATGATGTTTAGACACAATTTGACATAAAAATTCAACAACAATTCCATGGTTAATGCAGTTAAAACATGCAGTTAATTTTATTTAGTGGATGGTTACTAAGTATAAGAGGAGTTAACTCGTTAACTATCTACTCAAGTCTCAATACCATTAACCAGAGTTCTATAACATTATTAACCATGATTTTCAAGTGTAGTTGAACCCAAATTGTGGTTATTGAACATCTTTTATTTGAACACTATTTGGTAGATTAATAGATATATGTGTATATTTGAACACCTTTAAGTAGTGGTCAATATAGTTCAAAATCATGGTTAATTTTGTTGTGAATTATGCCATCCTTACAATTTTTCTTGTGACTCAACTTCAATTTAATCATGACTAATGCTGGCTTAAACATTTTCAACACTGCCATCGTTGCTTCCAAGAAATGGCTTCTTTACCTTCTAAGGCCATAATTTGACCTCTATTTTGCTGCTCCCATCAAGGTTGATGAAGCAAAAATACCTCATCACATTCTTCTCTATACATGCTAGATTGCCATTGCAGAGAGAACTCAACCTTGTGAAACCTGTCTTCTCCTCTTGATATTTGCCTTGCTGCTTGTCATCACACTCTAGTTATGGTTAGGGTTTCATGATATAAGTTCGCTTAGACCTTGTGTGTTTGTTTGTCCCACGTTCTCCCTCATCACTACTAGCATCTTGTCTTTAATCTTCTGCAGTGCCAATTGCAATCTGGTTACCAATTCTTGCAGTTTTTCTGCATCATCCATGCGCATTTTCATCCTCTTTCAAACCATGACATTGTAAGGCAAGAGGCAATTTGAAAGTGCCTTTCTCTCTTTATACACTTAATGTGTTTCTAACTAACTTAGCCAACTTCTCCTCTTAGTATTTACTTCTAATTCCTTCTCACATATACTGTTTTGCCCATTGGCCTCCAATCACTGTTATTTCTTTCTGTTTTAGATCCGTTCTAGTGTTCAAAGGATTACGACTCTCAAAGGAATTCATCTTCACGAACCAGATTCCTTTCTTGTCATTTATAACGGTGTGATCCTTGGCAGACATGAAAACCCACAGGTATCAGATTGGTCTATCTTTTATCAAATGTATTCGTACAAAAACACATTCATGACTATATCTCATTTGTTGTAAACCTTAACTTTTCTTGTTCAGGTCTATGCTAATTATATAAGGGATGCACGGAGAAGTGGTAGGGTCAGCAAGTTTCTTAGTGTCCATGTCAATGAAAAACAGGTGAATATTTCTGCTGCAATTGATTTTCCCCTTACCCCCATGTTTAATAGTATTCTCATTTTTCCTGTTTAATCATTTTTTTAGATGGAAAATTCTTATTTTGTTATTGTTTCAATCAGTGTTGTGTCTACTTAGCTTCTGACGGTGGCAGAGTTTGTCGCCCTTTGGTCATTGTTGAAAAGGGGATATCAAAAATTAAAGATATCCATATGGCTGAACTAAAAGTAAGTGCATCATCTCCCCTTATCTTGTTAATAAAGAAATGTAGATGTTCATGTAATTATTGACTTAAGATGTTTTTTTAGGAAGGCAAGCGTACATTTGACAGTTTTGTAAATGACGCCTTGGTTGAATATGTTGATGTCAATGAGGCAAATAATGCATTGGTTTGTTTTCCTCTAACTATTTCTATGTTTTTCTGTTTTTGAAATCTTATTCATGACAACAAGTAACTTCAATTTTCTATTTTATTTATAGATTGCATTGACTGAACAAGATGTGTCATTAGAAACAACACACATTGAGCTTGAACCATTCTCCATCTTAGGAGTTAGTGCGGGGATAATTCCATATCCTCATCATAATCACTCACGTGGAAATTTTAAACAGGTTGTCCTTTCTCCCCATCACTATACAGTATTACATCATATATTGCATATGTATGAATTAAAGGTTTTCTTTCTCCAACTTGAAATGTATGTATTTTACTCACTGTAGTGTGCGGTAGGGAAAAAAGCAATAGGGAATATCACATATAACCAGGCAAGTAAACAGTTCCCTCCAAACAAATTAATTTTTTAATTAAATTTAGATTCTTTCATTCTAAGTATGCAATTATTAAGTTTAAATCTCTTTTTTCCAGTTACTTCGGATGGATCGCTTGCTTAACTCACTGGTTTATCCGCAAAGACCTTTGCTGACTACAAAATCAATTGAGCTAGTTAGTAGTTTTATTGATTTTTCTCATTATTTATTTTCGCCACAAGTAAAAATCTAGCTAATATATGCTTTTTAGGTTGGATATGATAAGATTGGAGGAGGCCAGAATGCCATCATAGCTGTAATGAGTTTTAGTGGGTATGATACAAATGACGCAATTGTCATGAACAAGTCATCGATTGATCGTGGTTTTGGGCGTTCCACAATTATGAAAACGTAAGCAATTTTATTTGGAGATTTAATGCCTCCTGTTGCGGCATATTTTGTATTTTATCGTATGGCTCTTATTATTAATGTCGAGTTTGATGTTCCTGGATGCATAGGGATACCATCATCAAGCAAAACTATAATAATTGCACATCAGACCGATTTCGCCCTCCCACTAGAGACAATGCGGGGCGAATGCAGGTGATATGCTTTAGTTACTTGGATCTGAATATTTCTTGTATATAAATTTTAAAAACAATATTGAGTTCCGTGAATTTTGTGACCAAACTGATCTGTGTTAGAATCTTTAATATTACCCATGATTTTCATGGAATCTATGGAGAAAATCTGAATTGAATCTTTCGATTACATCAGATCAGATCTATTAATAGATTTAATTGGTGACTTGCTGTAGGTAAGGCCTAGACTGACTAACACTTGTCAGTTAGTCACAAGTTGTTAGATCTGATTTAACATTCTAACTGTGTGAGACAGTTCTATATATATATATATATATATATATATATATATATATATATATATATATATATATATATATATATATATAGCTTGTTATAGGGCTTATTTTCCTAGTAATTACTTTGTACAGCTGGCATAGGATTTGTTATAACCTAGCCTCATCTCTCTCTTATATATAGGGATCCTTTGTACTGTTAACTTAGTGTGATAAAATACAATAACATAATTTCTTCATCTCTCTCCTTTCTTACATTATTAACATGGTATCTCGAGTTATTTTCTTGATCTAAGCGCTTCCATGGCGCCGCCTTTCAGCATTGAAGGTGCTTTTCCTTCGTCTCATGTGAAACTCTCACATCTCATGTCCGTCAAGTTAGATGAGTAGAATTTCAAACAGTGGAAACAACAAATCAAAGGCGTTATTTGTGGTCATCGTCTTCAACGGTTCGTTACTGTACCGTGCGTTCCACCGTGCCTTCTTCCCGGCGCCGATCCAGTCACCGACGGTGCAAATCCAGATTATCTTGATTGGGAACAGCAGGATGCACTTATCTGCACCTGGCTACTCTCCACGATTTCCGATTCTCTTCTTCTGAAACTCGTCGACTGCACGTACTTGTGGCAAGTATGGTCGGAAATTCACCGTTACTTCAATGCTCTGCTCACCACCAAGGCGCGACAGTTGCAATCTGATCTTCGCAACCTGAAGACAGTGTATTGGAGATTAATTTTGAAGATTCTAATGATGATGTGGGTATGAAGGAAGACATGGCAGTTGCTTAAAATGATGTTTCTGAAGATGATTTGGTTAAGGAGCAAATGATTGAAAAAGGGGAAGGGGAAGGGGAAAGGTATAGGGAAGTGGAAAAGTAATGGTAAAGGTAAAGGTAAAGGTAAAATGAAGGGGAAATATAAAGGTAAAGTTGGAAGATTACCTAAACAACCAAAGCAGTGTGAAGGAAGTGGTGAATGAAGTATTTTGGATGATTATGTTAATGAAAAGAGGAAACAAATATGAAGGGTGAGGTGGGAGTTAAACTGGTAAAAGATTTTCAAATATGAAGGTGATATTCTATCAAATATCAAGAAAATGATAGCAAAGAAATTCAGGAAAAAAAACAAACAATTAGATTGTGAGGTATTGAATGTTGTTTTGATTTACATTTGGATTGTGTTTTACATTTGTTCATGAAGTTGTGTTACTGAATTGTTGTGTGTTACACAAGCGCGCAGGTGAATATAATTATGAGGTGAGACATATCTCATATAATGGAGAAAAGTATATTGTGAGTATGTCCAATAAAGAGTGCTCTTGTAGGACATGGATGCTGACAGGGTTGCCATGGTGTCATGCAATATTTTGCATGAAATCTCAACAGTTAGAGATTTAAAACTTGTGCCTGATTTCTACAAAATAGAATGTTATGAGGCATGTTATGCACCTGTAATTTATCTAATGAATGAGGGAACTCTTTGGGATAAAACATAGTATGTTGATTTATAACAACCACCAATCAAAAGACAACCGGGAAGACCAAAAAAGAAAAGGACTAGAGATGCATTAGAGGATATAAGAGATGAAATACAGCTAAAGCAAGCTAACTTTAGAATCAAGTGCAGTAGGTGCCACATGATGGGGCACATTAAAGCTACCTACAAATTTCCCGCACCAAGTCAGAAAACTCAGCCTGAACCCAGTCAGCCTGGTCCGAGTTAGCCTGGACCAAGTGAGACTTCATCTATCATGTCTGAAGAAACATCAACGTGATCTACTTGTCTGCTATGTTTCGGTATTACTATCTGTGTACTTTGTGTCAATGAACACAAACTTAGGCTTTTTGTATTAGTGTCAATGAACACAAAATTTGGCTTTTTGTATTAGTGTCAGTGAACACATATTTGATAATGCAATGTGTAACAAGGATCTTAGTTCTGATTATTATAATGCAAACAAAATTTTGTTATTTACTTAATTTGACTTTTGATTATGTTTGCTTTAAGATAAATTACAAACAACGTTTTGGCTCTAATAAATAACATGGAATAAGGATAATGTATTTACAGGTTGGTCAAAGCATTAAACCTAATTATTTTAATTCAGTCCTTTTACTCATTATCTAAATCTCATCACGGCCACTTATTTATTACAATGTTCCAGTTAAGTACCTTATTTAATATTTTTGTGTCACTTATTGCAATATTACAAACCAATTTGTTATAGCAGAAATGATAAAACAGAGTTTCATTACATACCATAATTGATAACATAGACCATATTCAACTCATTTCATTTAACCAACATTGAAATTACATAGTTTCATAACATCAAATTACATATTGTTTTGAGCAGAATCCTATTTGAAATACATGGTTAAAAACCCTAAACTAATAATGCAAAACACCATTTCAATTTTCAACACTCCTTTTGTGCTCAAAACTTCATTCTTCAACTTGAATATTTTCTTCCTTTTCCTTTCAATCTTAAATTAATTTTATCAACAAATTTATCACCTACCCACTTGAAAAAAATTTGTATCCCTTCTTCAATTGACTTCTATAATTCCTACAATCTCAAAATTATTTCTCAATATTCACATTGTTCAAATCTGTAATAGTACGAATAACACACTCTTCTTGGCACCAACAATCTCTCCTTTTGTTTCTTATGACCACATATTTAAATGACCCACAATTTTGTTTGTTTGATTTTGAATAGTCGCTGGAGTTCATTGACATCTTAGCAAAAATTATGAAGATGATGGTTTAGATGAAGAGGATTCTTGAAGAATTTTGGAAGAAGAATGATGAATGATGAATATGAATAGTATCCTTAATGTTTTTAAGAAAACATGACAATGGTGTTTGAATAAATATGGAGCTTACAACGTTAATATAAGTCATTGTTGAGTCACTAATGAAAGTTAATCCTTGTTGCCATGCCACATCAATCCAGTTAACGCTTTCCCAGACAAACAAACAGAATGGATCAAGTTAGATAATGTAACCATTGTTAAGAGACTAAGTTGTTACGGTTATTAAATAAGGGACTAAAGTGAAATATGAAATTAAGTTAAGGGATTTCAACACTAAATAAGCCCTTTTTAAAAATTGAGCCGTAATCAGAACCCTACATTTAAGATATTTTCCCTAATATTCTTACAAACCAAAATACTTAACATACCGAAAGACTTGTAATTAAGTTCTTCGAACCCTATTTTTTTCACCTGATGTCTTTTATAAAAGTCTTCCGGTTTTAATTTTTTTAAAGTTGATAACAACTATTTTTTATATCAATATGAGGTACAAATAACATGGCGATATAATAATTCATCTTGAAGGCATAAGACTAGGAGTAGTACCTACCCCAAATGTACATGAAAAATATATAGGTGGGCATACACAACAACTATTTCAGTATATAAGCGGATCATGTGACATGTCTCTTCCCGTACGATACAAGTACCATGTTGCTCGCTGATCGTACCTGATCAGAGTTGGACCGTCACAACTGGCTTCGAGCTGTATTTGAAGGAGATGAAGGGGTACCTGCAAGACACTCTGATGGCAAAATGAGAGATGGAATGCGCAAGCAAGTGAGTATAGGTGTGAATGAATGCATACCTGACCCTCTCATGAGAGAGGGTATTTATAGCCCCCAGTGTTGGGCCAAGGTCCCCCACCATTGGGCCACGCAGAGGCCCAATAACGGGAACTGCCAAGGTCCCCCTGGCCAACCGCTCCACGAGAATAGGGTTGGACCCGAAATTCCCGGTGGGCAGTTTGATGTGTCCGTTGAGAAGTGGTGGGCCACGTCCCTTAACGGTTAGATGAGAAGGTGCCCCACAATCTCTGACTTGGGCCTTCTTTTCGTAGGGCAAATGTAGGCCCAGTCCAGATCAGGAGCCCCCCAAGTTATTGTCCTCGAGTTAGAGGGTGATGACTTGAGTTCAGTTGTTATCGAAGGCTTGGTCGGGATAGAGGGTTGAAGTCCCCGAAAGGAGAAGATCATTGCCCGCGGAGGGCAAGAACAAGCACGTCGGGGAATACCATAGACGGACGGGGATCAGGATTGGACAGTTCATCCACCTGCTCGAGAAGGCATGTTGGCGGGGAGGAGTCCCTCCCAAGTTATTGTGCTCGACAGGGTTCATCTGTCTCCCGGGAGTTATTAGTTTGTCGAGCATTCCCTCGTCTTCGTGATAGTCAAGGGAATGTCTCCCTTTGTGTGTTTTAGTGCCGAGCACCTCCCCGCGTAAGTGTTAACCCACCTACGTCATGCCCTCGTAGGAGTCGGGCGCTTGCTCGTCAGTCTAGGGGATTTCGTGTTTGATGGTTGAGCCACGTGGCTAGCGTTTTGGGGTGCCACCCCTTAATAAAAAAGCAAAAGGGGCCAATGAGATGATGACCCTTCATGTGGGATCCCTTGGGGCATGGGTCGCCTATAAAAAGTGGGCCCTTGGAGTTCATTTGTCATCTTCTCATCTCCCTTTCAATCCTTCCTTTGCTCGCGGTTCTCTCAAAGCTCTCAGTTTTTCTTCGCTTGTGGTGTGAGGCGACCCTCTTAACTTTCCAATTTTTTCCTCAACGTTCTCCATCCAAGTAAGTTATAACCTCTTAATACCACCTTGGGTTTATCTGGATTAAATGTCGGAAATTCGTCTTGACTGGATGAATATCCATGAGTTTTGTGATGAATGTTCATGAATGTTCATATGAATTCATGGGTTTTGTGTCGGGCACTCATGAAGATGCCGAGCACCTATTAATAAATATTCATGAGCTTCATGACTACTCACGAATATTCATCCGAGTTTATGTATTTAATGTCGATCACTCATGAATATGTCGGGCACCTATGAACGTTCGCGTCATGGTGTTGGGGGATCCTTAGTGTTGTACCCCAAAATTTGCCCTCCCATATTCTTCAAGATTTGCTAAGATCATGCTTCAAAATCCCCCAAAGGTTGCACAGTCCAATTGCCTCCTGACATAGTCAAAATTAGGGTTTTGGTTATGGCAAAGAAGTAGAAGTTTTCAAGGGGCCAATCAAGTCCCACATGCCTATATACATTGTCAAGCATCCATATGTCAAGTTTCAAGACTCACAGCATCAAATTGCACAGTCAAAAACCCTAAATGCTTCACAGTCAACTACAGGGGCAAAATGGTCATTTGACAGTCAAAAGTAAAAAATTTTGGTCAACATCTTATTTTGAAGCCACAAACATCATTTTATCAATTCTTGATCATGATTCTCAAAGCATGGCTCAAAAAGTCTCAAGATGCAAAAGTTTCTATTTTTGGACAGTTGAAAAAGTCAA